GAATACCCCTTGTTGTCAGAGCTTAGGAAAGAGCTCATAAAGTTATTTTGGCTTCTGAGTTTGGGGCAGTCAACATGCAGAATTCCGATTGTTTTTCGGCAGCATCTGAAATGGGGGAATGGGAGTTAGTGAAGTGGAGAGAGCTCTGGAGTAGTTTTATTTCATTTCATTTCCAAGTGCACTGGAGGAGAAAAGCAACTGCCTTTGGGAAGAGAGATCCCACCACTGGCCACCCAAACCCTGTGCTGCAAGCCACACTCTCCTAGGCTGGGAATTCTGCTGCAAAGTCACAGTGTTAGCTCAGCCAGGCTGTTTTCCAGGCTGTTTTCCAGGCTGGCAGTCCTGCAGAGGGTGAGCACAGTGGTGGGATGCAGAGCTGAGGGCAGGAGGCCCCAACGTCACTTGAAATACTTGTGACTTCACTCGATAACATCAGTCTGGTGCACTGCTCTGTGGTATTGTCAGGGCAAAATTTCCATTTTTCACAGAGATTTTTTGTGTATACTGGTCATGTGGTGTGAGTTTGAGTCAGCCCAGCAGCACTGTCAGCTGCTGTGGGGTTTGTTCATCAATACACCTACAGGTCAATGCTGTTTTCTTCCTCTTACAGGGGAGCAGGCTCAGTTAGAGAGTTCATTAAGGTCTTTGTTGGAAGGAAACTATGCCAAATAAGTTGCTCCTCAAACAACCTTTCTGTTCCATCTGTCTTGCTGCTTTCTTCAAGTGATGTGTGTCTGCATGTTGTTTTTCCTTCTCCTGGACTGGCATTACAGATGCTTTGATTTCTGGAGCTTTTCAAGCTTCACCATTCCATGATCTGGTTTGATAAGTGTAGCTATTAAATATTGATGTTGGAGAGTCTCAGTGTAAGGAAGTAAATATCAAAGAAAAAGGGTAAAATCACAAACAGCATCTTATTTCTACTTTCAGAAGGTTAAAGCATATTCACATTTAGCCAAACAGTGAGTGCCTTATTTAGAGTTAACTTACAAATTACTGCACTTGAGGCAGTTTTATTCCAGTATAAAGTGTCTGTCCAGCGAGTTAATAAAAACAGTGGAAAACTCTCCATCTGGAAAAGCTGTGAGCTTCAAGGGAAGGGAAAAGCATTCAGAAATCTGTCAAAATCAGTAAAAATGGAGTTTAAGAGTTAGTTATGTGCTCTTGAAAATAATTTTGCAGCATTTCTGACTAAAACAAATCTTTAGCAGAGTGGTGGCATTTCAAATGTTTGAGCCTGAAGAATATTTGATACCTCATTTACTTTTTGCTCATCCCAGTTGTCTTAGTACTTTTTTCCAGTCTGCCTAATGAAAAACAATTCCATTGATCTCACTCCACCATTCTCACTCTCAGAATCTCAACAGATAATATTTGCATTGGAAAAATCCTGCAGAGCAGTGGGGTTTTTGGGGTCAAAGTGATTGTTTCCAGTGATATTTCTGAAATAGTGACACCAGTTTGGTATGTCTTTATTTGGGTAGCAGCCTATTTTTGTACTGATCAGAGTTTTAACTTGCTGCTTTATCCCGAGCCTCTAATCTCTCTTGCTGGGATGTGGCATTAATTTAGGAGATGGTGGTGTTTATAGGTCATTTATAATCTCACTGAAGGTTAACAGGTAGTGTTTGGCTCATGAGATGAGGGATCCAGAGCTGTGTTTTGGCTGTCAAACTGGGGGAAGTACCTGGAAACTTTGGGGAAAATGCAGATTTGCTTTATTTTCCTGTCATTGGTAGACAAAATGGCCCAAAATCAGTCTTGGCCAGCTCTTGCAGAGAAGGACTGATGGGGAATCATAGAATCAACCAGGTTGGAAGAGACCTCAAAGATCATCAAGTCCAACCCTCCCGTGGTCACCAGCCCATGGCACTAAGTGCCACATCCAGTCTCAGCTTGAAAACCTCCAGGGATGGTGAATCCACCACCTCCCTGGGCAGCACATTCCAGTGGAGATGGTGGGATTGAAGGCTGCACAGGGTGTCTCGCCAGGTCCATGAGGATGTGTTGCTTTTACCCTCCTAGTAACACACTGCTTGTAACTTGGGACCTCCCTACTCCAGCCCTGCACTGGTGGCTGCTGCAGGGTTGGGTAGTCACATCCTTTCCTCCTCCTGCCCTGGTGTGTGTGGCTGTCCCACCCTGGCACAGCTCCCTGGTGTGTCAGGGCGTGCTGTGCGGGCTCAGGAGACTGCACCAGGTAAGGTTTAACTGTAACCAGCTTGGGACCCAACTGCAGCTCCTGCAGTATTCCCATCCTGGAGTCAGTCTGTGTTGGAAGGAACTCTTCCAGCCTGGCTGTGTTTTAGTCTGCATGGAGCTCTCCTGCTCCAGCAAGAACTGTGTGTGTAGGTGATGTTTTGTGCTGTGTAGCTGTAAGATGATCACCTTAAGAGAGAGTGGGCCTCTCTGAAGGTACAGCACTGCCAAAGGTCAGTAAAGAGGTTGGAATTACTCTAGAGCAGTACAGGCACAACCTCAGAAAAGGACTTGGAAGGATATACCTCAGTTCAATCCTTCATTTGCTTTTGAAAGACTCTGTCTTGTAAACTGCTTGCTCATCAGTTACACTTGCATTACAGCCTTGACAAGGGCTATAATCTTACTTTTTCAGGTTTTATAAATCATTAGTCAGACCATAAAATGCCATATCTGTTTATTGTGGAGGGTCAAGAAAATGTTGCTGAAGCCCTGAGATGCTGAGGCCTGGCATCTGGGTTGGACCACTGGAGGCAATGTTGAAGGGGACAAACAGGAGCTGGAGAGCTTTTTTTTTTTTTGTGTATGGTTTTGGTGCAAAAACTGGTGAGGTTTCTTGGTCCCACTAGCAGGAGTTGCACCGTGCAATTGTCAGAAGTTGCTGAGAGCTTTGGGAACACCTTGTAGTGGCAGTAGCAGGAGTGTTCCTTCAGGCAGAGAGCACAAAAGCAAACATGCAAACTCCTTTGCCTTTGGCTTGTGCCATTGAAGAGATCACTCTTGATTAACTCCAGACTGAGCAGTTTCCTGTTAGGATGCTAACTCAGCCCACAAGGTCTCTTACTGAGCTTGTCTGCCAAGTCCCTTTTCCTTTTCAACTTCGAGGCAGAATTGCTAAAATAACCCAGAATCCAAGCAATCCCTTAGCACTCACAAGGATTTCTAACAGTTGAATGTTTTGCTGACAAACTCAGGTTTAGATTTTTCAGAGTTTGGGGTTGGTTTTGGTTTGCTTTGGGTTTTTTTTTTTTTTGGGGGGAGAATTTTGTTTCTTTTGAACATCCTCCCAACATATTGTCTTGGGGAAGTTGCAGTGTTGCAATGAATGGAAAACTTTGTGCATGTATCAGCCTTGGAAGCAGATTCTGCCCTTGTTTTGAACAGTCAGAGCAGAGAATGAGAGGTTTTACGTGCACTGAGTAAATATGCCCATAAACCATTACATCCTGAGTGGGACAATCTGCTGGAGAGAAAATTGAGCATTAAGTACAGTGGTGCAGATTTCTTTCCCTGTTGGAAAGTGGTTGTACTGGGTAACTAGTTATTTTCAAAAGTATATTTTAATTACAAGATAAAAAGTCAGCAGGGAAATGGGTTTTTTTCCAACTAAGTTCTGCTTAGGGAAAATTTGAATGGAAGAGAGATACAGCAGTGGTGACATCCTCTAAGTGGATTTGTGATGGCATTGATATAATTCCAGACACCTTAAATTCAGGTATATAGTTCATATCTAATTCCAGATGCAGCTAGAAGTCAGATATGTTACAAATTACACACCTTTAAAACAGCCATAAAATCTGTGGAACAAAATTTTTCCCTGTCTAGTCTGTTTTGTTTCTAAGTACAGGGAGCAGGTCGTGTTTTAATGTCACAACAAGAGTTTGTTGAACCTCCTTAAGATGGGAAATGAGATAGCAAAGCTTTGGAAAAATGTAAAGACAGAGCTTGAGAGTTAATACCAGAGTGTTAGAATAGTGTCCAATTATCGTATTGTTTAAAACAAAAGGATATCTATAGAAAATATTCCAAAGCAGTAGGAAGGTAGGGTTGTAAATAGGAAGTGGGTGAGTCATCAGGTCCTAATTATTTTATTCATAGGTGATTTTTTCTTTGTGTTTGGTCAATATACCAAGCCAGGATTGGCAGTGACTTTGAGTCATTAACATTTTGCCTTCCTGTCCCCAGTCTAGTACCCAAGTGTTGTGTTAATGTTGGATATTTTATGTTTATAGTCTCATTTTTAAGGCTTTTTATCCCACATACCAAGCAAATAAGTACGTAAAGCAGTCACAAAAATGCATTCTGAACTGCTCTCTGAATAGTGGCAGAATGTAAGGGAATGTTTCTAGTCCTGTCAGAGCAGGCTGTAAGCATTAAAACCCACTGCTGTTCAAAACACACACCCAACAGCAAACCCTGGAGTTGGGGACAAACCTTGTGCCAAGTGGAAACTGTAAGAGAAAGTGGGAACGTTGTAGTGGCATGTTTGCAAGATGACTTTGGCACCCTCCTTGCAAAAGTGAAATGTTTTGCACCCAGATGTGTTCCTGGCCTGAGGTTCTGTGTGGCACCCCAAAGTCAGTCTGGGCACTCAGTCCCCATAGCTGCTGTGCTCAGCGAGGGAATCACAAGTGTATGTGCTAAAGTTGTGGTCAGTTTTCATGTTTATTCAGAAGTGAAACACTGAATTAGCACTTCTGTTCCCTCCAGTAATAATATTCTTTGTGGGGTAATGGATTTTCTTTTAGATAATGGTATGTGGTGGAATCACGAGATAACTTGGTAGTGGTCAGACTATGAAATATTTTTGGAGCACAGCAGAGAAATATCTGAAAGATGAACTTAGTAAAAAGCTCTTATTTGATAGAGCATTTGGTGCTTGGAGAGCCAAAATTGCAAAACCATTTAGCACCTGATGGTGGGCAATTCCTGTGGAAAGGTGGAATTTAATCCAGTGAAAGCTGGGCCAGGGATTTGGCTTCTGTGTGACTCTTGTGATTTGCTTTTGTTCCCCTTTGCAGGGTGGAGGAGACCAGTTACCTCCAGAGCACACTGTCAGGCAGAATGAAACCTCCAAGATCAGGGCTATAAAAGCTGGAACTCTGGAGAAACTGGTGGAGAACCTTCTCACAGCTTTTGGTGATGGGGATTTTACCTACATCAGCATCTTCCTGGCAACATACAGAGCCTTTGCTTCCCCCAAGGCAGTGCTGGAGCTTCTCCTTGACAGGTAAGAGCCAATACAGAATGGAAACAGAGCCATTATTGACATGACAGGGGGTGTTGCCAGGAATTTCTTCCATTACTTTTAGTGGACATGGGTCTGGTAACCCAAGCCAAGAACACTGCACAGTGCAGAGTTTCAGCATAACCCTACAGTGTCAGAGTTACTGCATTTTCCAAGGCAGGTGATCTACAGAACCAGTTAGTCTGGCACATAGTAACTAGAAGAGAGAAGTGGCATAAGAACTCCTGGGATTGAATTTTGGCTCTCCCACTGGGTAGATAAAGAACAAGGCATGGATAAATTTTCTGTGCTTTGCTTTTGTACCCAGAAAGGAGTAGAGTACCTGTTGCTTTGTAGGAATGTTATGTGGGTCAATTAGTAACAGTATTAACGATGGTAACTTGGCAATCAGGTAAGAAGTCAGCTGAGGAAAGAGCTGCCATCCTGGAGAGCACACTGAGCTTTACCTCTCAGTCCATCCCAATTCTGACACGGAATATGAGCAGTAATAAAAATTGACTAGATATATCCAAGAATGTAAAAATGTTGAGGCTCTAAGGAAGTCAGCCCTGCCCTCCTCCTCTGATGCTGCTTTAAAGAGGTGAAAATGTCAGGAGAGGGCAAGAAAGCCCAGGGGGAAAGTCTCCATAGAATAGAACTTTCTTTTCTGAGCCCAGTTCTGACCTTCCTGGCTTCTGTACCTCTGTGAGTGAGTTACAACATCCCCTTCAGAGGAAGGGCACTTGGGCTGCCTGACCTCATCAACATTATCCCCAGCCTCTTGTCAGAAATCCACAGGAAATCCTAGGAGGTCACCACTTCCTTCCCCTCTCACAAATCTTAGCAGTGCAGTGATTAAGAATCCATGGATGTTTCTCTTGGCTTTTTGAATATCGTGGATAATCTAGAATTTTATGGCTTGGGACAAGATGTAGATGAAATTTAAGCTGTAAAAGTTAATGAGTCACATCAGCTGAGGTATATATGGACTTGTGAAGAACAGCAGATGTGCTAAGAAATAATTAAGAGATGGATAGCAATTGATTTTAACTAGCTTTGGTTCTCTCCACATTAGTTCAGAATAAGTGGCAAGGAGTCTCTATTTTTGCAACCTTCTTTTTAGTATGCTCACAGTGCAGAGACTGGAGTGAGTGTCAGTGCATGATCTGTGTTTTCTAAGTACTTGTGTTTTGTTTTCCAGTGAAGTAATGAAAAGGGAAATCTTTTATAAACAAGCACAGTTTTGCCATTTGTTGTCAGTTTTAGCTTCAAGTGAAGAGCTTGAGCCCTGTCTCTCATCTTTGGTGACAGAGCAGGATTGTGGAGTAAGGGAACAATCAGTTATAGCAACGCTGAGCTCTCATTGTTTGGTCCCAGGGAGAACAGTGATGTGCTCAGATCAAACAGGCTCTTCCAGTTTTTGGCAGCCTTGAGGGAGAGCAGGAGGGAGCAGCATCCACATCTCCTGGTTGTAGGGTATATTTTTTCATAGGGATGTGCACATTGACACAACTTGTCCAGAGTTTGTGTGGAAGGTGGATCACCCTCAGGCCCGGTGCATTCAGTCTGTGCTGGATTTGCTGGGAGTGCAGTGCTGCAGAACTGGCTGAAGTCTGTGTCAGACATACACAAACCCAGCCTGGACAGAGTCCTGGGAAATCTGGATGCACTGTGTGAAGTGTCCTGGGAAATCTGGATGCACTGTGTGTGTGGATACCTGTTGCTCTGCAGAGTGTCCTGTCCAGGCAGAGCAACGTTCACTGAATTTCAGGTGTGAAACACTTACTTTGTCCAACAGCAGGTGAGAAGATCTTCCCTGAGTGACAGAGGCAAATCAAAAAGCAGATGCTCTGCTTAGAGAAACTTTAGCTTTAGAAATCTCTTTTTTTTTTTTTTTTTTATGATGATGATGGTTTTTTTCCTCCTCAAAGACTTCACATTTAGCTTTTGCTTAAATTTGAGCCTGGAGCCCTATTGATGTTTTTGGCTGGATTCAGCCTCTCAAGGTTTTCTTTTAAGATAGGTTGGAAGTCACTCAACCAAACCCTGAGCATAAGTTGTGCTGAGCAGTGAGGGCTTGTGTTTGCACAGCTATTGAACAGGAATTGGGCATTGGAATGCCTTTGGGATTGATGGAAATTTGGCCTCTGAGTGCAGCAGGGAGCTCTGAAAACCTGCCAAGCCTTTAACACTGTTCTGATACTGTCTGGTTGGTTGATACAAGTGGGTAGGGAGAGGTAAAGCAAAGCAATCGTGTTGGAATTCTGATGTGAAAGCACAAATGGGTCAGGAGTTTTGGCACAAAGTGGACACTTGCCCCTAGGAAACCTGGGGTGAAATACCACTGGGAAGGACCATCAGGTGCCAGAGACACAGGAGCTGTGCTGGAGAAAGTGGTTGTGTCCCAGGCTCATTGCACACTGGAATATTGCCCTGGGAAAGGTTGGAGTGAAAACAGGCAGAAAGGATCTTGGAGCTGTGAGCAGAGACACTGTTGTGGTTGATTGCTGTGTGCAGGCTGCTTTGTGTCAATTAACAGATTAGGTGGGAAGATACAGGCTGTGTGTTTAGGAGTTTTTCTCTCCTAAATGAAGCCATCTTCAAGCTCCTTAATTTTGCCCATCTGTTCGATTCTGTATTTGTAGCACTTTGTTTCTGGTAATTGTATATGAATGATGCTATTTGGAATTTTGCCTTTCTCCAGTAGAGTTCCTTCTGAACACCCACCTTCTTTTTCAGGTTTGGAAACCTGGGGACCTCAAGCCATGGAGAAGCAGCAAACCTGAATTCCCTGGAGTTACTCAGGACGTGAGTTTGGCTGTGCACTGTGGGTCAGGCCCTGGGCAGGATTTGGGACAGGAGGAGGGTGTAAGCAATAGAGCTGTTGTTTCCTTTGGAAATTCACAGCACTGTTTGCATGCTTGAAGAAGCTTGTGGAAAGTCTCCTAACACATCCAATAATACAACCCAGGGATCTTTTGCAGGGAAATTAAACGTGAGATGAGCACATCTAGGCCAGTGTTTTGCTGATTAAACAAACAAGGAATGTTTGCTTCCTCTGCCTTATCTATGGCAGTAAATGGTTATTGCTTGTGAGTGGTTTGGTTGTGCATTCCAGCTGTGCCTGCAGACCAGAGCTGAGGGTGTTTCAGGCAAGGTGTGTGTACCTTTTCCATAGGGCCCCTGTGATTTACAGTGCTGCCTGCAGAGTGACATTTAAATTCTGAGGTCATCCTAATTTGCAAAAGAAATAGCAAAGCTGTTTTGAAGTAAATGCAATTTAAATGAGAAATAAGTGGTTTGGCATCCTCCTAGTGGTTTATCTGTAGACATGGGGTGTAAAATGTGCCTTAGGTGATCAGCACTTGTACTGTGACCTCTGTGTCATCTCTGGTTTGCATGCACCGTGGCCTGTGTGGCTCTGTTTGGTTACAGAGTGGAGGTGCTTGACTCTTGTCAGCATTGCTGGTGTCTGTTGCTCTTGCCCTGTGAGACTTGACACAGGAGCTCAACTCTGATGCTTTCCAGGCTGCTGTCATATTTTCCTCCCATTTTGCCATGAGAACTCATCAAAGAACAGCTGGTAGCAAAAACTTGGTCACAAGCACAAGGAAGCAGCATTATGGGGTGGGTAGAGGCAATAAAAGACACATTTCCATTCAAGCTGAGCTCTAGGACCTCTTCCAGTGTTGGGCAAACCATTTGGCCTCCCCTATCTCAGCCATAAAACATAAGCTAAAGCAGCACCTTCCCTGCAACACAGCTGAAGGATTTGTATTTGGGATATGGAAGATAATTTCACTGGTATCTATCATGTTGGGGTTAATCCCCCAACTGCCTTTTCATGGACCCAGAGGAGCTTCGTTGTGTGGTGCAGAGAAAAGGGGTGAAAGCAATCCTGGTGTTCTTTGTGGCACCTGGATCTTGGAGAAAATACTTGAGGTTTTTGCTGTGCCTGGAGGTGAGCCTGCAAGAGAAATAACATTCAGTACCAGCATGTCTGGTGGTTGTTTGTTTTTTTAATGGAATTGTTTTCCTACTGACATATACATAGTTTACCAACCCTGTGGAGATGCTTCCTGCAGCATCAATGCTTTCTTCCCTCCTGGCACGTAGTCACCACGGGATGGCTTTGCACAGCCAGGGAGGGACATGGATAGAGTCTGTGGTCCTGTTCCTGTGGTAGCTCAACTTCTGATGAGTTTATGGGACAGAATTTTCATTCATGTGGTCAGCACAGCTGATTTGGATCCTTTGGCCTTCATAAGATACCTTGTATGTCTGAATTTCATGGTATAGTTCATAGCACGTTAAGGGGTTGGGATGGAGCTTAGGCACAGCCAGGGAGGGACATGGATAGAGTCTGTGGTCCTGTTCCTGTGGTAGCTCAACTTCTGATGAGTTTATGGGACAGAATTTTCATTCATGTGGTCAGCACAGCTGATTTGGATCCTTTGGCCTTCATAAGATACCTTGTATGTCTGAATTTCATGGTATAGTTCATAGCACGTTAAGGGGTTGGGATGGAGCTTAGAGCTCACCCAGCCTCAAGCCCTGCCCTGCGCAGGGACACCTCCCACCAGAGCAGGTTGCTCAAGGCTCATCCAACCTGGCTGTGAACA